GGCGAAACAGCACAACAGCCAGTAACAAGCATGTATGCAGTCACCACTCAGATCTCGACACCAGAGAAAGAAACGTCCGGCCCTCAAATCTCACCACAGCAAACAATCGTGGAAACATCAACAACAAACAATCGTGGAAACATCAACAACAAACAATCGTGGAAACATCAACAACAAACAATCGTGGAAACATCAACAGCAAACAATCGTGGAAACATCAACAACAAACAATCTTGGAAACATCAACAACAAACAATCGTGGAAACATCAACAACAAACAATCGTGGAAACATCAACAACAAACAATCGTGGAAACATCAACAACAAACAATAGTGGAAACATCAACAACAAACAATCGTGGAAACATCAACAACAAACAATCGTGGACACATCAACAACAAACAATCGTGGAAACATCAACAACCAAGAGGAAGAAAGAAAACAGCCCAGAACAGAAAAAAAACACATCAAAACATCACGATTCAACAGCCACCACTCCGTTTTAGCGCTTGTAAAAGCTCGTTAACATAAAGGGTATAAGACATGATTTTCCCCTTACTATTTATGTACACTGGATGTCTGTACATACGAAATGCGCTTTCTTTTTCTAGAGTTTCTATCAGGCTTCTCTTCGGGAGGGGGGGGGGGGGGCGAAGAAAGTCTAACGCCACCCCCCCTGACCAAGATGGAATTTAAATAGTAAAATTATACTATTATTAGAGTCCGACTCCACCCCCCCCCCCCCCGAAAATATCAAGTGCCCTCCCTCCCCCCCCCCCCCCCCCCCCGAGAAAAAAGTCTGGAAGAAACACTGTCTTTTTCCTCTTGTGTATTATAGCAGAGTCAATCACACAGTGTTTATTTCAGACTTTTTCCCCGGGGTAGGGGGGGGGGGGGGTCACTGGTAAAAGTATATACCTTCTATAAAAAATTCCATTTCGTTCGCGGTAGGCGAAGGTGGGGGTGGGGAGCCTCTCTGATCCCCACACCTGAATTAATCACGAACACCCACACACAATATGCGTCCACTAATCCCACCACAAACAAAATGCGTCCACTAATCCCACCGCACACAAAATGCGTCAACTAATCCCACCACACACAAAATGTGTCCACTAATCCCACCACACACAAAATGCGTCCACTAATCCCACCACACACAAAATGCGTCTACTAGCCCCACCTACACACAATATGCGTCCATAAATCCCCCTACCCCCCCCCCCCCCCCAAAACAAAAACACTCCTACTGATACCTAATACCCCCATTCAACTAACTAACCAACAGTAAACCCCCTCACACCAACAGTAGATATAATTGTAAACACACCAATGCAAATCGTGTGCCTTGCCTACACTACAACACAATAATTTCGCCAACACGAAATTTTACCACACTAAATTCGGCCAAACTACATTTTTTGACACTAAATTATCGCTCACTAAATTCTTCCACACTAAATTCTCCCACACTAAATTCACCCAGACACAATTTGCCCGCACTAAATTCTCCCACAATGAATTCTTCCACACTAAATTCCGCCGCACAAATTAGCCCACAATGAATATCCCACACTAAATTATCCGACACTAAATTCTCCCAGACAAAATTTTCTGACACTAAATTGTCCCACACTAAATGCTCCCACACTTAAAAGCTCACAAATCTAAGCTCGATACACCAAAATCGCCCAAACATTCAACTCCGCCATAATAGATTCCATCACACACCCCCCCCCCCCCCCACCCCCACGTGAAATTAAATATTGACGCAGAATATTAGTGTTAGTCCCGAGAGTGCACCAAGGTGTAGCACAGTTCACAGCGCTTTGCTGTCGTCTTTTATTTGTTTGAAAGTATCTCGCGTGTGGAACTTTATTGTCAGGGGAGAAAAATAACAATGTTTTTTTTTCAAGGGAGGTAATTGTAAAATTAAATGACAAAAATAAAAAATAAAAGTAGTAAACCAGTTTTGAATATAAACAAGTAAACAGACATTAATATTAATTATAGAATAATAAATGCATAAAACTAATTTAAACATTTGGTGCCTTTTCACACAATGTTAATTACAACTCTCAGTAATTGTTGATCTCAATCCAAAAACAACAATTAAATGAAACTAGTATCATCCATCTGTAATATTAATACCAAGAACATTAGTTAACTGATGGGTGTCGGTTATGTAACATCTAAAATCTTTTTTTTGTTAGCAGGTAAATCTAATAGATCAGGGGCCGGCAACCTTTAGAGGCAGAAGAGCCAAAAGTTAAAATTTACAAAATTTCCCAGGTTTTAAAGATTCAATAACAATATTATTGTATTTGATTAGGATTAGGCAAGTGATATCCGTTCGATTTAATTCATGTTATAAAGCACTTTTTAGAGCTACTTTGTTTATTTCAAATTGGATTTTGTGAATATTGTTTGTTCTTTCTCCGTGAGGATCCAGACTGTGTTTTCTTTTCAAGGGAGACAACTGTCTCCTTTGGAATTTTGGTGTTAATTTCGTTTGTTATTTCCCTTGGATCGGGGTACGTGTTTATTTTTATGACTTTGTTTCATGCTCTTATGAGCCAGAACTTTCTCCATGGCGAGTCTCACTCTTAAAGTGACCGTAACTGGGCATAAAGGCCCTCATAACCTAGAGGTCTACACCAGGGGTCGGCAACCTGCGGCTCGCGAGCCGCATGCGGCTCTTTTGATGTCAAGATGCGTCTCTACACCTCCATGCACACATTAATAATTATTTTATTTTCGAAACTCATAAAAATATTGTTCTGCAACGTTTGGTGATGAACGATATAATAAAAAACATAAACAATAAGCACTCGCTATTCTATTAGAATATTTATTTACTTTCTATTTCAATGTACATTCTATTAAATTGTCCCATCTGAATCGAAACATTCAACTTCATGGTGGATATTACAAAGAAACTAAATGAGCTAAATGTAAAACTGCAAGGAAAGGGAAACCCAGCCTATGCCTTGGGTGATGAAGTGGACTGTTTCGAAAAAAAAAATACTTTTTTTTGTTGAAGACACGGAGAGCAATACATTAATTAATTTCGATAAATTTGAAAAAAATTATCATGAAACCAATGCTACTTTTAACATGAATTACTTCAGCATTACAACAAACAAAATGAAGGATGGATTCCCGAGTGATTTGAGCAATTCAAAACAAATGCAAGTACACTTTGACCAAACATTTGTGGAGTGGTAAGTTCACGGAACTCAGGAGAAAGTCCAGAAAAACATGCATTTTCTCTGCACAACTGGACAGCTCTAACATAAATGTCTCGAGGCTTGCAAGGTCAATAATTCAAAAATTATTGTTATATAATGTGATTACTGATTTTATTATTCTAGCAGAGCTGGTTAAATTACCTTAATTTGTTTTGTGCTAACCATATGTATGTTTTTATATGAATAAATATTATTTAATTTTAAAAGCTAATTATTTTAAATTATATATAGGCCTATATATATATATATATATATATATATATATATATATATATATATATATATATATATATATATATATATATATATATATATTTATTTATTTATTTATTTATATATATATATATATATATATATATATATATATATATATATATATATATATATATATATATGAATGAAATATCATAATATTGAAATAAAAATGTTTGTGGCTCTTTAAAAACTAGGAAATTTTGAAAATTGTAACTTTTGGCTCTTCCGTCTCTAAAGGTTGCCGACCCCTGACTTATGGCAATTGCTGGAAATAGGCAGGCGTGCCAAATTGTTCCTCTACTCTAAACTGGTCCAATCAATGCTAAGCTTTCAACCTAAATTCAACGCCCAAGGACCAACCTTCAGCACAAAATAATGCGCCACCTGCACCACAAGCACCATCATCAAGCAAAATCCAAAACTCTCCAACCAAGGACGCAGCAACAGACCCAGATTCAGAAATAGAAACCGCTTCGTCAACAAAAAGGATAAATCAAACGAGTCCCACAGAACAAGGAAAAATAACTAAATAAAAAAAAATCGAGAAATTAATCCACGATCACCTAACAGGCAGCTTCTGCCCCAGCTCGTACCAAACGGTTAAGGAAGTACTAAATCACGAAAGAACAGAACACACTTATCTCAAAAATGCAACTTCTGTAATGATTCAAAAACCCACAATGACTTACATCGACACTACACGGAAAAACACAACAACGAAACTAACTTCAGTTGCTGCTTTTGTGATAAAAACATCCCAGAAAAAAAGCATTCATCATCACGTACTAGCTCACCATTCAAATCTCTTGTCTCAGAAAGAAAGGGCGAGAGAAAGCCATAAGGTAAAAGAGTACAGTTTCACAGTTCAGAAGGGAAAGAAGTAGTCAATTAAAAATTTAGACGTTTTGTTATAATGGAAACTCAAAATTGTATGACATGCTTAACTGTAATTGTATGCAATACTATGTATACTATGTATATTTTAAACATGCAACCTTTCCACACAGCTAGCTCCTAGGAGTGAACTGCGTGTAAGGAATTCTATTTAAAAAAAAGTATAATGGGGACGGAGTGGTCTTGCGGTAGTCTCGAGTTCGAATCCGGGTTCAAGTCAGTAGACCGTCACTGAGTCCACCCAACTCTGATGGGTACCTAACTCACGCTAGGGAAAGTAAAGGCGGCTGATCATAGTGTTGAAAGGTCACAGAAACAAGTGAACTATACTTCACTTGCCCCATAGACCGTCAGGTTTAAAAGCGAAACTTTACTTTACATCAACATCAAATTCTGTACATAATTTCGAACATCAAAAAATGGAAAAAAACGAAAGGTTTAAAATAAAAAAAGAAACAAAAAACTGCGTGTTTAATGAAGTCTCACATCATATGTTAGCTGATAAATGTAATTGATCATTATTGGTTATTGCTGGTTGAAAACTATTCCGAACGTTGAGCAAAATCTAAATGCACCGAGTCCTCTTCTCTATACTAGAAATGGACTATGCAACTATTACCAAACTCTACAATGGGGTTGCGCCCATTCCTGTTCCCTCTAAGTTGAGAGACTTGGAGAGCAGCAACCCGTACTACCGGTCAGGTGGCTTAATGAAATCTTGGACCCCACCCTTTGCAGACAGGTCAACAACAATAACTCTTAAACTACCCGAAGAGGATTGTCCAGATCCTTATTTAACTGCAACCAGAGTTTCTTCCAGGCTTTGCCCCCCCCCCCCCCCCCCCCGAAATTTTTTTACCGCCCCCTCCCCCCCCCCCCCCCGAACGAAATAAAATTTATATAATTTATATAGAAAATATATACTTTTTACAGTGTCCACCCCCCCCCCCGAAGAAAGTTTGCCGCCCCCCCCCCCCCGAAAATTTCAAGTGCCCCCCCCCCGGAGAAAAAAGTCTGGAAGAAACACTGACTGCAACTGACTCAGCTACAATAAAAGTACATATCACTCCAAGAGGTCAACCAAACCTGCGAGGTCATATAATAAGACATCTCATTAGCAATCTTGTACTTCTCCTCACAATCCCCTGACGTCACCACAATGGACAAAATATGCAAAACACACGGTACATATACATTGTATTTCTCACTTCATGAAAACAACAAAATAAACGGGACCCTTAGATGGGCACTCCCTAAACGTGACAATGCTACACTCATACAATATCTAAGCCTATTGAGGAATAAATAGCCATCCAGAAACACAATCCCCCACACTAATAATCGCAAAATTCCCTACACACTTAATTCTCCCAAACTAAATTCTCTCACACTAAATTCTCTGACACTAAATTCTCTCGCACTATAGGCCTATTCTCCCACACTAAATTCTCCCACACTAAATTCTCTCACAATAAATTCTCCCACATTACATATTCTCACACTAAATTCTCCCACACTAAATGCTCCCACAAAAAACTTTTCCCACACTAAACTCTCCCACACCAACAATCTCACAAATCTAAACTCGATACAAAAATAGTCTCTACCAAAATCACCCAAACATTCAACTCCCCCACACCATATTCCATCACGCACCCCCCTCCCATCACCTAACATGGAATGTAAAAGTGACACAGAATATTAATGTTAGTCCTGAGAGTGCACCAAGGTGTAGCACAGTTCACAGCGGTTTGCTGTCGTCTTCTGTTGCTGTCAAAATATCTCGTGCGTAGAACTTTTTTTGTCAGGGGAAAAAAACATATATTTTTTTGAAAGGGAGGTAATTATAAAATTAAACGATAAAAAGAAAAGGAAAAAGTATTAATATCTTGAAACAAAATACAAGTAAACAAATGTTAAAATTAATTATAAAAAATTAAATTACAAGAAAAATATCTTTAATATTTGGTGATAAATAATAAAATGTTAATTACAACTCCTATTAATTGTTAGTTGTTAATCCCATAATTAGTAGACACTAGTATCAACCAGCTATAATATTAATACCAAGAAAATTGATTAAAGGACGGTGTTGATAACTCTATTACTTATATTTGCGTATTTACTGAAGTCTCACATACTATGTTAGCGCAGGGATCGGCAACATGCGGCTCGCCCATGCGGCTCTTTTGTGTTATAGTGCGGCCCTCCAGTTCCATGCACAATGATTAATATTTGTATAGTTTCATATTCAAAATTCATAAAAATATTATACTGTAAAGAAAAACAACTTTAAATAGGATTAAAAAACTCATCAGAGAACAGTGAGAATAGGTGAGGTAGAAAGTGAATGGACAGCTGACAGCCGCCTTGGCACCAGGCCCAACCCCACAGCCGCGCTTTAGCCAGCCCCGTGGAGACCATTCCATGTTTGCCACTGCCCAAGGGCCCCGCTTTTCGATTGCCGTTACACGGGGAATGTTATTTTATTCAGAATGCATTCCTCTACCTGTCAGTATGCAATAATTTGACCTGAGTGACGAAGTATGTTAGTTATTGGTTTCCTACGGTTAAGCTATAAGGTACTGGACTTTGGGTTCGCGTGGGGTGAAAGATAAGCCTTGTGAGAACCGAAAGACAGAAGCGACCGATACAGTAATCAAACCGATATCCAAACCAGATAGTCGGAGTTTACCATGCTGAGGTCTGCACTGGCAATGAAAGATAACTACTGAACCAGTGGTGTTCGTAAAGAAAGAAACTAAAAGTTATTGGCTTCTAAAGTGGATTGGGATAGACCTATAGTTATATTATATGATTTCTAATTTTATCATCATCATCATCATCACCATCATCATCATCATCATCATCATCATCATCATCATCATCATCATCATCATCATCATCATTATAATCATCATCATTATAATCATCAGCATTACCATCATTATCCTTATCATTATCATTACCACCACCACCATCACCATCATCATCATCATCATTATCATCATGTTCGAGACAAAGATACATGGGACAGATGAAGTAGAGTTCATCTGCTTCTGAAACCTCAGCATATGAAGAGATAGTGTGGTCAGCACTATGTCAAGCTGCCTTTATTTCCCTAACATGAGTTACGTACCCTTCAGAACTGGGTGGACAAGTACATATTATTGACTTGAACCCAAATTTGAAAGAGGTTGATGGTTGAGATTAGGTTAATGGTTGAAACTAATGTTTGACCTTGGTGGTTCAATTGTCTCGGTTAACTTTTGTTCGTAAGTTAAATGATTAGCGCAAGTTGTATACACCAGATTTCAACGCGTTAACGTCAGAGATTGTTGTAAGAACTTCACGACTTCATGGGACGGCGTAGTAGAGCATTCGACTGCTAACAGGAAAGTCTCGAGTACGAAAACGCGATCTATTCATTTGAACATCCCTGAGTCCACCCAGCTCTGATGGGTATCTAACACACATCAGAGAATGTATAGGCGCTGGGCATACTGTTGACTACACTATCTGTTTACATACAGGGGTCAAATGAGCAGATGAACTCTACTTCACTAGCCCCATAGACCTTCAGGTTAGAAAAGGGAACAATACTAGACTTTAAGGCTTAGCGGTAGAGCGCTAGACAGCTACCTGAAAGCCTCGAGTTGGAATCCAAGTTCGTCAGTATAAAATACCTCAGCCCACCCAGCTCTGGTTGGTACCTCATAATATACAGAGGTCCCACAATCAGATGAACTCTACTTCACTTGTCCTACGGACCGTCCGGTAAGAAGGTATAGCTTAGAGGGTACAGCTCTAGTAATCGAATCTTTCACTTCCGTCCGCAGCTTAGCGCATGCGTGGGCTCGTCCCACAGGTCGACTGTGACGCTTTCCAGGGCACGAGGTCATAGGTCGACTGTTGTAGGTCGAGGATAGGTAAGCCTAGGGGTCAAGGTCGTCTGATTTTGTATGGATAAGTATCCGGGTCAAGGTCATCTGAGGTTGGGGGGTATTCCTCGTGGTCAAGGCCGTCCGAGGTAGGTTAAAGCTAGGTAAGCCTCGGGGTCAAGGTCGTCTGATGTAGAGTGGGTAAGCCTCGTGGTCAAGGTCATCTGATGTATGGTAAATATAAGTAACCATCGGGTTCAAGGTCGTTTGATGTAGGGTGGGTAAGCCTCGGGGTCAAGATAATCTAAGGAAGGTTATTTATAGGTAAGCATCGGGGTCAAGGTCGTAGGATGGAAGTAAGGGATTGGTCAGCCTCAGGTTAAAGGTCATTTGAGATAGATTAAGTATAGGTTAGTCTGATATTTTGTGCGATTTAGTTATTGACAAGAGCTATACATACAAATAATGATAGTGTACCTCATTTTTTATCGCGCTTCATCCCTTATTAATTTCTTTTTGCGTAATTAAGCATCAGCTATACTTGAAACTTCAATACGAACATTTGCGGTTTCTGCTCATTCATAATATTCTCATCTGCATCAAAGCATATAAATATTATCACATACGTATCCACATATCCAAATACATCCATCAATATCCAGCCATACATATCATAGTGTACATATCTACTCACCAATAGCTAATTCCTCCATATTCAGCCATCCATATCTATTTCTTCCCATCTACTTAGGCACCCATATAATTTCAGACTCATCCACTTATCTAATCCAATTATCATAATCCACTCATCCTAATAGTCTCATCCATATCCACCATATCCACCACACCACCAACCAGACCCTGGACTGCTCCGGCGTCAGCAGCTGTTTCAGCTCCAGCTCCCACAACTTCTTCCTCTCCAGCTGCGCCGTGAGCAACGTCAGCGTCATGGACGAGCTTGTGGGTGAGGACTTCTCGTGCACGCTGTACACGAGGGACGTGGAGAAGATGACGTGCTTCAAGGAATGTGAGTACTGGGAGCAAGGCCCGACTGCTATGGCGTCTTTATGATGCACGGTTACGCAACTACGCATTTGTTTTTGTTTTTTTAATCAGCCACGCAGTAGATTTTTTAAGATCAGCAACGCAGTAGTTTTTTAGACATTCAGCAACGCAAGACTTTTTTTTTAAAGATCAGCCACGCAGTAGTTTTTTAAAAGCAGCCACGCAGTAGTTTTTTAGAAATGAGCCACGCAGTAGTTTTTTAGAAATCAGTCATGCAGTAGTTTTTTTTTTTTTAAATCAGCCACGCAGTAGATTTTTTAAAGATCAGCCACGCAGTAGATTTTTTGAAGATCAGCCACGCAGTAGTTTTTTAAAATCAGCCACGCAGTAGTTTTTTTTAATCAACCACGCAGTAGATTTTTTAAGATCAGTCACGCAGTAGTTTTTTAAAATCAGCCACGCAGTAGATTTTTAAAAATCAGCCACGCAGTATTTTTTGAACGAGCAGTCATGTTGTATTGTAAGACTTTGAGAACGCTGCGCACACAAAATACACGTTGTAGGCCACCTTTTCCCTCTAGAGAGAGCACTGCCCGCCAGCTCAGTGTCGCATGAGGGAGGTGGAAAGGCTCAGCGAGGCATGGGCGGGGTTAGTTTCAGCGATATAAGGGCAGAGTTTCTTTCAGGCATTTCCTTTGTGAAGTGGGTGGAGAAGTCCAAGAACCCACACTTAGCCCCAACCCCTCAGACAAAATAGAAAATTGTTTAATGGAGAATATTCTTAATATATACTTGTTTATGACAATAGTCCCCCCCCCTCCCCTCTCTGGATCTTTATATGCCCCCACCCCCCTAGAGAAAAAGATCTGAAACAACCACTGTTACTTTGAAAGTTTCAATTTGAACAAACAGGTAAAATCAATATAATCGATGAGATCATTCACCAAGTGACTGGATGGTTTAATCCCCCCCCCCCCCAAATTTCATTCTTCCAGAATTTCAATATAAAAGAATATTTTTAAAAACCAAAGTATTATCCTGAAATGAATTTCACGGCAAATTTAACTGATTTTTAATAATTTCAAATTTGAGTTCGTGCTAATGTCGTGCTGGAGGTTTTAGTAATTATATATTTATGAAATTAACATTTAAAGATATCATTGCTAGCAGGGGTCGGCAACCTTTTGAGACTAAAGAGCCATAAGTTACTATTTTCAAAATTTCCCAGTTTTTAAAGAGCCACTAACACTTTTTAATTTCAATATTATACTATTTGATTAGGATTATGTAAATACATATGATTTGTTATTTAATATAAGTAGTTTTAAATATGAAATAATATTTGTTCACATAAAAACATGTTTTTCGTCAGAATAATGAAATTAGTAATCAAAAAATAAAAATATAGGACTATTCAAATCCACTTTAGAAACAGTAACCTTTTTTTTTCTTTCTTTACGGACATCGCCGGCCCATGAATTGTCTCCCATGAGCCAGACAGGCCTCAACACGACAAACTCAGACCGAATTGGATATCGGTTTGATTACCGTGTATCTGTCGCTTCTGTACTTCGGTTCTCACCAGGCTTATCTTCCACCCCACTGAACGCATGCAAACTCGTACCCCACTCTCCAGTACCAGGCTCAACAGTAGGAAGCTAATAACTAAAATTCAACGTCACTCAGGTCAAATTAATGATTACTGACGGACAGGTAGAAGAATGCATTCTGAATAAAATAACATTCCCCATTTAACGATATTCGAAAAAGTCGACACTTGGGCAGTGGCAGGCATGGAATAGTCGACACTTGGGCAGTGGCAGGCATGGAATTGTTGCTACGGGGCTGTCCACATCACGGCTGGGCCTGGTGCCCAAGCGGCTGACAGCTGTCCGTATACTTTCTACTGCACTTATTCTCACTGCTCTCTGTTGATTTTTTTTTACTGTTTAAACTTGTGTTTCTTTACAGTATAATTTTGTTATGAGTTTCGTGAATTTTTGTTAAAGGAGCAGGAGAGCCGCATCTTTACATCAAAAGAGCCGCATGCGGCTCGCGAGCCGCAGGTTGCCGACCCCTGTTGCTTGGGATATCGTAAGGTTGGGTATTTATCTATATGAAATTAACATTAAAAAATAGCTTTAGCACCGAGGTTAGGTAATACAAACAATCTTTTAATCAGCAATTTATCATATTTTTATACATATTTATAATTTAGTATATTTCAAGAAAAACCCGTTTTTTTTATATGAATATAAAATACATTATTAAAATATTGTTTACACAAATAACTCTTATTAAATACTTTAATGCAATGCTGTTGTTTGTAATTTACGATTGATATTTTTTTTACAATTAGGTGAGTTTTTATTCAAGGGAGTGTACTCCACATTAAACGACAAAGCTATTAGAGCAATCATGCTGGTTATCTCCCTTACTATTCTCTGCCTGTGTCTGGTCGCCATTGTCAAACTGCTGCACTCCCTTCTCCAAGGCCCCATCGCTCTCATCATCAAAAAATTCATCAACGCGGACTTTCCCGGACCGCTGGGCTACCTCACCGGATACCTCGCCATCATCATCGGCGCCGGGTTGACCATCATCGTCCAGAGCTCCTCCATCTTCACCTCCATCCTCACCCCGCTCGTCGGCATCGGGATCATTGAACTCGACCGAATGTACCCTTTGACCCTGGGGTCAAACATCGGCACCACGACCACGGCGATTCTCACAGCCTTAGCCAACACGGACGGCCTCAGAAACGCGTTACAAGCAGCCTTCTGCCACCTCTTCTTCAACATCACCGGCATCCTCCTGTTTTACCCCATCCCCTACCTCCGCTTCCCCATCCCGCTTGCTAAATTTCTAGGCAACTGCACGGCCGAGTACCGCTGGTTCGCCATCGTCTACATCATCCTCATGTTCTTCCTCTTCCCCGCCCTAGTCTTCGCTCTCTCCATCCCGGGCTGGTACGTCCTCCTCGGCGTCCTCGGGCCTGTCTGCCTTCTCTTCATCATCATCGGCGTCATCAAATGCCTGCAGGCTAAACGTCCCCAGAGCCTGCCCAGAAAGCTCCAAGACTGGATGTTCCTACCCCAGCCGCTACGGTCTTTAGAACCCTATGATCGCGCATGCAGAAAGTCTTCTTCTGCAAGCGATTCCAGACAGACTCTACCGAGAAGACAGACACTGGTGCCACGTCAGACAGACAACCTAACGGAGAGTCCAGCACGCGACTTTAGTATGACCACGTGACATTGTTTACAAACAAAGTTCGATGATTGAAAACCTATTTATTCTATAATGTTATTTATATTTATAACTTGTATATGATTAGATAACTTACATTAGATTTGGTTCAGTATGTACGTATAACATGTATAAAGCTTACTGATTTTTGTGCGTGATATATAAAAGATTAATTTCTGTTAAGTATTTTAAATATATATATATATATATATATATATATATATATATATATATATATATATATATATATATATATATATATATATATATATATATATACACATTTTTTGTTTTTGAATTTTGAGCTCTGTGATCTTGTCATACGAGTTTTGTGAAATTTTATACATTTTTAATAACACGAAAAAGTTGATTGAATTCTAATATTGCTAGCATAGTGTTGTCATTAAAATCTTCTAAAATAACTTTACTGGTCCAATTTTGAGGCAGTTGTTATAATAATAGCATATCGTACTAGGTATTTGAACACTCTGACTTTGTACCATATTGTATTGAGTTGTCTTTTGACGATTTTACGTCCATAGAGGCCAACTTAAACCACCTGGGCCACTTTTATGGAAAGGCCAACATTGGCCATTTTTATGGATAGGGCAATCTCGGCCACTTTTTTGGAAAGGTCACTAATATTTGCACCAATTCGTAGCTCATTTAGAACACTTGAAGCATAGGCATTCGCTGCCACAAATGTACTAACAGATCTAGAAAGAAAAAAAAGCTTTCAGTAAGATATAGTCAAGTGCCCACCACCCCCCTCCCCACCCCCGAATATTTTAAAGGAAGTTACTAGGCTGATACCAACACTTTAAATGGAACGGCGTGGTCGGACTGTAGAGCACACAACTGCTAACACGAAAGTCTCGAGTTCGGATACCGGGTTGGAGACCTATATTCACTTATCTCAGGTGGGTACCTGACTCACGTTAAGGAAATAAAGGAGGCTGGATCTACTAATGAACACTCACATTTCAGCATAGGCTGAGGTCACAGAAACGGTTGAACTCTACTTCATCTACCTTATTGACCGCCTGGTTTGAAAGAGTAACTTTAAGTGTGCGAGGCACTAGACTGCTAACCCGAGAGTCTTGAGTTTGAATCCGGGTTCAACTGAGTAAAACTTTCATGAGTCCACCCAGCTCTAATGTATAACTAACTCACGTTAGAGAACAAACTTAGGCGGCTAGGCAAAGTGCTTACCACACTATCCCTTCATATGCCGAGGGTCACTGAAACAGATGAACTCTACTTCATCTGCCCCGTGTGTCTTTGGCACGAACGGGAAAAAAACGACGAGCCAACTTTGAATAAAAATTGATGACTTTATGTAAAACATAACGCTTTTATATTTTGTAATGATGGTTGGACATACTTCTTACTTAAAAAACATTTTATTTTTTTCCAATTTTAATTAATTATTATAATCTTTATAAAGGGTATACAAACTCCTTCTAAATAAATATGAATTAGTAACTTAAAACACATAATCACTAAATAAAAGGAAATATACAGACGCTATTAAAAAATATGAATAAATTAAAACTTTTAAAACAATATTATTAAGTTGAAAACGGAAAAAAAATCAACACGATTTCAAAATAAAGACACTGATACATTATCTATATATATAATTCTCTTCTGGGAGCCATTAGAAAACAAGCTGCAAGCGCGCTCTTTGCAGTCCCCTCTCTTCCTTTCTATCGCTACCACCCCCCCACCACCCCCCCCCTCACCCCCCCCCCCCTCACCCCCCCCCCCCCCCTCACATGGTCAGGTGAGTTGTAGTTCACGCTAAATGTTTAGTTTGGTGACGGCTATTAGGGGCAGATAATTCAGTTTGAAACTATTTTAAACTTAGAGGAGGTAACTAAGAGGAGGCTGCTTTCACGAGGGGGGGGGGGTAGGGAATGGGGGTTTAGTGTTTTAAAGCAAATATTTTCAGTGGCAGCATTGGTACTGTCGAATTCACAAATTATGAATTACTGAAAAGTAGAAAAAACGCCTAACTAGCGGCGTATGATACACCGCGGGTCCGCTCGTTTTTAATATTTTTTTTATTAATAAATAAAATCCCATTCCCCAGTGAGCCAGATTTATAACATCCGTTATTGAAAAGTTCACCAAGGGAAACAACTCCCACAATACTGGTTTACCCTTGAAAAACGACACAAAGGGACACAACTACCACATCCCCTGGTTCACCCAATACGCTTGAGCCAGCTACGGCGGATGTAGTCTCGTGAACATCGGGACGGCCCGTCGTCGATAATCTCCGCGTTGGTCAGCCGGCAGTCCCGGCAACATGCGGCCATGTCGTAGAGCTCCACACCGAAGGCCTCGAAGCAGCCGAAACAGCCCATCAGACAGCTCATCTTGGCGCTGCGGGGGTTGCACTCCAGGCTGGTGGAGGCGCGCGCGGTGGCCAGGTGCAAGGTCAAGGTGAGGACGACGAGGGTGATCAGAGCGTGACGAATCTGAAAGTGGGAGAAATAAGTACATTTAGTAAGGTTAACACGTACTACTTACAGTTAAAGGTGTTGGAGGAAATCCGACATTAGAGTTTAGAAAAATAGGAGACATGTAATTGATTAACGTGTACGATTTTACAATTCAAACTCTCATCGGAAGTCTGAAAGATAAAGATATTAAAAATCAACCTCAAGCCTAACCAAATCACAAATTGTTAATCTAATTCGATAAAGTTGATTAGATCAATTCACCGTGTCAATTTCTGTTTAATAATTTAGAGAACGCCCACGTATATTATTTCAGTAAATGGCACCTTAACCATTCTGTTACAAATAATTAACGCAGTTAATTATTAATCAATGCTTGATATATCATAGAGAATCCAATACTTGAACAGATAAGAAGGGATTATCACAATGTTTGTATGATAGTTTACATTGACATCAGCTGCTGATCATCAACCATTTCGTTATCGTCCAGTCAGGCATCTTTCAGTTAGTCATTGTGCAGTAAATCATCGTCTAGTTAGTAATCGTTCCTTTAATAAATTCTCATTTAGTCATCGACCAGTGGGTCATCACCCAGTCGGTCATCGCCCGTTTCATCATCGACCAGTGGGTCATCGACGAGTGGGTCATTGACCTATAAGTAATGGACCACTTAATGATCTCACAGTCGCCATTCATTAGTAATCAAGTATCGCGCTTTTAACCCACGGTTATGTATACAAGCTATAGCCTGTCAAGGTAGGTTTGGTTATCGTGTACCTGAGGCTCTCATAGTCTGATTTATATATATATATATATATATATATATATATATATATATATATATATATATATATATATATATATATAACACGCACATATTTCCACCCCTGCCCTCGAATGAAATATATACCTAGTAATCCATGGGAGACCAGTAACTGCCATGTAACTCACTAATCCCAGAGAGTGCCCCTCCCCCATTTCCACACACACACCACACACAATGTACCAGCGATATCCATTTGATAAGAGGTCGTTGACTTCGATGATTCTACCAAATTTAGCAAGGGGAGTGAAGTGGACCAATTATGCTGACCCGCGTATAGATTCGATTATCTCCCATCGATTTGGCAAATTATTGCTACGTACGTCTGTATATTCCTTTAATTCCAGAAATTAGTTTTTTTACAACGTCGTTTTTTTAAAGCCGAGAGTTTTTGCCTATATATATATATATATATATATATATATATATATATATATATATATATATATATATATATATATATATATATATATAAGTAAATGTGTGTAGGCTTGTGAGTGTGCGTGTGTGTGTGTGTGGGGTGGGGGGTCATGGTGTCGGACAACACTTCGTCGAATGCGTATCAAAGAACAGGATTTCCTCTCCCAGCTGGGCCCGACGTCCATGTTAATGTTGACCCTGATAATTAGGTCAAACACATCCCAGGTAACAAAGCTGTTGACCTCGACAGATGGAAAGGGTGGGGGTGAGGGGTTGGTTGGTCACGTGACATAAACTTGTCCTTATATTTATCAACGTTCTTGTTGCAATTATTTTCCCACGTTTTTCTTCGTCAGATATGTTAAAGTCATTGACCTATCCACGATAAATACAATCGATCTTGGTCAGTGTTCCAGACGTATATACAGATTGAAATTTGCCCGTCCATTCGGTCAATTGTCCCGCTCGGGCAAACGGTTAAACGTCCATTCGGTAAAACGATCGGCGGACAAACGGCCTTGGGACAAAAGACCTACAAATAAACGACCAAATGCCCTACAGACAAACGACGAAACGATCTACGAACAAACGACCAAATGATTTACGGACAAACGACCAAATGACCTACAGAAAAACGACCTACAGACAAAATGACCTACAGACAAAATGACCTGCAGACAAACTACCAAGATTCGTGCAGATGTCTCACGTGCGAATGTCGTAGATCCCACGAATAAACACTAAAACGCTTTTTATAAAATATGATTTTTAAAAAAAGACTAAAAAGACACCTATAACTTAACCAGGAAATGTTTATGAAAACTTATATAAAATTAACAGCTAAACCTTTGTAAGAAAATATAAAAAATGGAAGACAAATAACAAGATTATCATTTTATAACTATATATTTATGAGGAATGGCGTGGTCTAGCGGCAGAACGCACGCTTGACGCCCTGGAAGTCACGGTATCAAAACCCGGGCTTTACAGCGAAATATTCGTCGTGTCCATTCAGCTCTATAAATAGCTATGTCTATTGAGCGACAACTATCACCGATATTCGCCATGTCCATAAAAAACACACAAGGTATCTTGTCCAGAAATGCGTTTCTTATCCTTTGCTAGAATCTATTTCACATACATATATACTCCACTGATACCAAAATAACGTTTTTTTTTTTTTCTTTCTTGAAATTTTTCTATCTTTCATTTTTTTCGAGACTTTAAAGTTAAAAGGTTTCAGGGAATTCCCAATTTTATCTTGAATTAATATAGAAAAAAAAACTTTTCTT